GCTAATAAATTCCTGCTTGTAATAACACCTAGTGCTTGTTGAGCTAATTCCATCTAAAATATTCAGAGTAAATAATATAATTTCTACTTTTAATATGATAAAACTAAGGGAAATCTAGTAACTTCCTAGGGTCACACAGCTAGTGGATAGAGAGCTTGTTATGTAAGCATGAACCTGATTTAAACCCCTGTGCCCTTTCCACTGCACCACACTGGAAGAGCTATTTGAAGGATCTTATGATCATAGCTAACAGTCCAAGACAGATTGACAGAGAGTTTCTAACATCCAGGATAATGGGTAAACTTCTCAATATCCTTTTTCTAATGAAGGAGGTTGTGTGTATTTATTACCAAGTGACTAATATCCCATGAAGATGTTCTGCTATAGAATTCTAATTGTAAATCACAACAGCCATCTAGTGATTTAAAAAGGAAAACCATCAAATTATTGGTATATTTTTAGTCTCTAATGAGCAAAGATAACTAATTTAGGATTATATCTTTGGTAATAGAACAGATGGGGTCACAGATTCTACAAAAGTAAAATGTATATAGGCCAAGTTTCTTATTAATAGTACCAGAAGAAAGGGGGAAAGTTGAGGAGACAGTGACAGAGAGAGGAAAAGTAATGAAAATATACCATAGTAATGGAGTGAAAGGAAATTAAACATTACATGTGTGTGAGAGTCTTAACATCAAAAGATTCTAGAACTATGGAGTCTTCTTTCCATTTCCCAACATGTAAGCATGGGTTGGGAAAAATGCTAAGCACTATGGTTTGTATTTAAACCTGTGAATGTTTCAGAGAAATTTTAATTCCTTGATTTCTTTTTCACCCCATTTTAGCTCATTATTTTTTTCTCCCACAAACCTATAAAATAAATCTAGTCAGGACCAAGGACAGATCCTGAATTGTCTTGACTTTCTTGGGGTTCTCTGAGCTGTATTCTCTGTCTTCCTGATGTCTCTGTGAGACCCTGAAAACTGAACCCTGATTGTTATCTTGTTGCGGGGGGTTCTATGGATGGGAAAAGGACCAATCCTTGTGCATGTGGCCCCAGGTAAATGGCAAGCAGCTTCAGTATGAAGAGAATGAGCTAAAATATGCCTTTTTCCTCTGAGGACTCTCTCTAGGAGGAGTCTCACAAGCTAACAAATATTAAAATCATCACGTCACTAGTACTATAAGTGAATGATCACTTTTTTATTAGTGATTCTTAACAATAAGAGCCAGAGATCATATCTTATGCTAATTTTGAACAACCAGTATTGCACAGCATATAGTAAAGTATTCAGCAAATACATTTTATTGTTAATCTGTGATGATGTGTTTTTTTGACCTTTTGAAATCCTCAATTAGATGTTGAGAAAGAAAAAACAAATGCTTTTGTATTTAGAGTTTATTCAAAGCTCTCTTGATTTTTAAAAAAAGATATTTTCAACAGCAGGGGCTCCTTACTTAGTAACCCAAAATTAGATTCCTAAAGAACACACAATAGGGAAGGGGAGACTATTTTTCCACTGCCAGAATCCATAAAACTACATCAATTTCTTCTTTTGTCTGCCTCTTCTATGTCTTTCTTCCCCTGTATTCTGGTGCTCATGTTGTTAAGTATATAAATACCATAGGTATTCATGAGAAATGTTGTGTCATTTCTGAGTGCTGTGTTTTAAGAAAACTGCTGATGCTTTGATTTGAATGTGTTGAGAGGAAGATGTCCACATGAGTGTGCCTTGAAGCCATAGCTTGTGACAGGTGTCTTATGCAACTAGTGATGTTGAACCTACAGATTAAAAAAAAGCAGGGTAGATGTATTGATTATTTGCAGGATTATCCTTTAGGAAGCTCAACCCATGCAGTACCTGGTCTACGATTATCAATACCCAGGGACATTACAAGGAAGCTCATTCTGGGTAACATCAGTAACACCAGTGAGTAGACATTACAAAGGGGAATATATATGTTTAGCAGGTTGAAAATGATGACAATAGCTGACACTGAACAATGGAATAATCCAAGTACCATCCATGAGGCCAGAAGACACTGAGTCAAGTGAATGTTCGCAACAAAGTTAACTGTATAGAAAGACCTCTGAGCACAACTGTGGTCAGACCATAACATACAAGATAGTTAATGATGACACAACCAGGATGAAAACAGAATCTTTCTAGTATGTCTATACTAGGTACTTTTACCTCATAGGCCTCAGATGGCAGTTGGTTAGTATCATCCCAGGTTGTAATTATGAATACGTTTTCCTGAAGTCCCTTGGTTTTATAAGGTGGTTATATATTTTTTAAAGATGTATTTATTTATGAATATAAGATCTGGGGTACAGGCCAGAGGTTCAGGGGGCGAGAGGATTCATCAGAGACAGAGTGGGGAGCAGAATAGGCAGACTGACTGAAATACACTGCTGAGGGGAGCAGCAGGCAAGACAGGAGAGGTCTGCTACACTATGTGGGTAGCTTCCAGTAGGCCAGGGATCGAACTCATGCTGCGGAGGCTGCAGATAGCTTCACAGTGCTATGCTTAACTTATCCTCTTGCACCACCAGAGAGACCCTAAGGTGGTTACATATTTACTATTACAAAACTAAGTATACTTATGTTCAGTGACTGGGAACACACTGTCCAGTAGTTTATTAATTCATCATATATATGTGTCTTGGTGACCTCCTATGCCCCAAGATCTGTTCTAGGCTCTGGGCATAAAAGAATGAACAAAAGGAAAAAGTCCATACCCTTAAGGAGCTTATGGTCTAGTGAATGCCTATAGTCTAACATGTAAATTGGTGAAGAATCACTATGAATTCTAGCCAAAAATAATTTTCCCTTTTATATGTGTTGATGTCTGTCAAATTTGCCTTAGTTCACTTCCTGAATAAAGATTTATCTTTTCAAAATACATTTAATAGAATAAGCATAACCATCTACTATAATTTATATCTCCTTTATATAGTATAAATATCAAAATTAAATAGAACTATTTTCATTTTCTGGGAATGTTTCTACTTTTCTGGTGAGAGAAAAGATATGGCTCATGTTTCATGCATTGAAATATTTGAGATTTTTCTTATTCAGGAACTTGAAAATATAGTTACCATGTAATTCTGCCCAAAATTCCTTTCTTAGGTTACTAAACCATTGTTTATGCTTTTTAGTGTTCATCTGATTTATGACTATCAAAAAATTCAGTAATATATATAATTTTAGAATGTAATGTCACATTTAAAAAAAACAGATGGTTCATTCGCATCATGAAGTTGTTTAAATATTAGAGAAGGGATGAGGTGATGGGGTCTATAGAAATCTGTTTAGAAATGAAAATCCTGAGGCAAAATGACTTTTGTTTTAATTGAATAACGTTGTATATAACATTACATAAGTTTCTGGCATTCATAGTTGAGAATCTGTATGCATAAATACTGCTCTCTAAGGCCTAGAGCCTTTTTTCTGGCCCTCGGGCCAGGGGGCTTGCTACCACTCCCCTCAGTTTCATTTTCTCTGCCAGTTGAATAGGCTGTAGGCTTGGCTGAGATTTATTAAAAGGGCTGCAAATGACCTGTGCCTGCTTTGCCTGATCTGAGTATTCTTAGGCTATTTTCCCCTAGCCCCTCTCACCTATCAAATGCAAGATCGTTGTATACCTCGAACAACTGGTTCATATTCCCAATTTTACTATGGATTCAGCTAAATCTTTAGCAAGTAAATGACTTCCTAGTGTACACTATTAGAATATGTATTACTTGGACTATCTAGTCCATAATTAGTCAACTTTCTTTAGCCTGGTAAGGATTTGATAACATTTATCCAATCATTTTTTTGAACACTTATTACGTACCAAACTGCGTTAAATCCTTAACCCATTTCAGCTCTTTAACTCTTACAACCTCTGAGGTAGATCCTTTTAATATCCTCATTTTATGGTGGAAGAAACTGAAGTGGAGATATGTGGACTGCCAAAATGTTATAAAGCTACTGATAGTCAATATCAGCAATGGAATTCACCTCTTAAATATATAGTTTTCAAAATTTAATGTAACATAAAAAAAAAACCAGATGGTACAATAACAACATACAGTCATTTTTTTTGAGTTAATATCACCTTAATTTGACAGCAGGAACCACAAACTTTCAGCATTTAAATAATCTTTTCAGGATTACAATTAGTCTGGTGGGGGACAAGGAAGAGTCAGACTTTACCCAATGCTGCTTATATTACAATGTAGATACTTTTAGAATGACTTCCATCTGCCAGTTTGGGTGAGTTCTCAATCTAACATGCGCCTTACAATTAAAAAAAATATTTATATACTTCAAGAAGTGGGTAGTTCTAAAAGATAATAGGAATAAGTGTCTGAAAATTTTCTTTGACAAAGTTATTCTGTTTTTTTAAATAGCTGTTTGATTTCTATGGTAATGCTAAATGTTAAGCCAATCTTTTATTGCTCTTGTTGATGACATTGCTTTTATTCAAAATATGATATCTTTGGGGCTCTCTGGTGAAGACTTAGTATTTTCATCTGCCTATTATACATGTTACATTGTGTTCTCCAAATGAAATTTTTTTTAAAGTCCCTGACATTAAATAGTGATTCATTCTTTATCATTAAGTCAGAGAGACTGGCTATTTCTGACAATGCAGTGAAGCTCATTTTGCTGCCTTTTTTTTTTTTTTTTTTTTCAATTTACTTTGTCCAACCTAACAATAATTTCACTGGAAGAAAAAAATTAAAATTGCCTCATTGACAATGTAATGATATCAGTTTTTCCTTCATAGAAATTAAACAAAGTAAAAATCTTAACAGTGACTTTCCAGGGTTCAGTTGTGCTTTTAGAAAAATGCCTAACAAATTCTCAAGGCTTCATTTTCAAGCTAAATCTTCCTGCTCTAAGGCATTTAGTTTTGTGCTTTTTGAAGTGGAGTGTGGATAAGAGAGTCCATTTAATGAAATTCAGAGTTGACTCATCTTTTTTTCTCTTTTCTCTCTCCTCCAGCTCTTTCTCTTTGTTGTCTGGAACTTTGAGCTCTACATGATACCACTGGTTTTGTTGTTACTATTGACATGGAACTACTTCTTGATAATATCAGGGAAAGATAACAGGCAACGTGATACAGTAAGTCTCTACTTTCTTATTTGTATGTGTTTTTGTTCTTATTCCCTACCCCACTCCCCAGCAAGATCAACATTGAATCTGCTTTTGCAAACCAGAAATTCAGCTATAAATGCACACGTTTGGAGAAACATTTCACTAGTTCAAAACTAACTATTCTTGGTTGTAACATTATAGAAAGTATTCACCTATTAAATTACTCTCCTTGATAAAGACTAAAGTTGGGAACATACCCAAGAATGAGCTCTGATTTTTTAATTATAAATGGGTTCTTCTAAATGATTATTTCTTTATTCTCCTGGTTCCTTTTTGTGTATTAAGGAATCCTGAATTAAGACTTAAAATTATTATTGATCCATTCAAACCAATGTATTGTATTCAAGGCAATTTCTGTGTTCTGTCATTGAAAGGAAAGAAGATTTGATGGTTGCTGGCCTAGAAAAGTACATAAAGTACCTAATTCAATAAACATTCACTCACAACAGCAAATCCCTTCTGTACATCAAGGCGGGGAAGGGGTATTAAGAGACTGATTCAAGGCTGAATAGATTTCATTTAACCTAGGGAAAGTGATACAAATCCACCTGCCTTCTCTGGTATTTTTGAAAGTTTCTAGAATGCATGAGACAACCTTTCTCTCAAAGAGTTTAAGACTGAGAAGCAGATGCTAGCCTCCCCGTAATCACGTATATTGTTCTCTTGCCAACTTTCACCAACCCCCCCCATTATCTCCGTCACAACATCCTATCAATAATTAACTTCAAAAAGTATTTCCATATATAAATAAATGGAAGGGGAGTTGTCTTCTCTAAATGAAACATTTGTAACTGAATAATCTAAAGATTGGTCAAACATGAAAATGTATTTGGTGGCTGTATGTCCCCATCAATTGACATAAATTGTTCAATTTGCATAAAGATTTGTCCTTTTATTATATAATAAGGACTTTTTGTCAACTACTGTGCCCATCATGATGCAGGAAAGAGAATTATTTCATCATTAGTTTAATAGTTTATTCCTATATAAAACTTTATTTTAATAGTGTGATAATCTTTGCATACAGACATGGAGCAAAAAAAAAAAAAGAACCCATTTTGAAGTAACACAAGTAAAATATCAAATGGTAACACAAACAAAATAAATACTTCTTCGAAGTAATTATCTTTGTTATCAAAATTGAAGAGAAATGCTGATGTAATAATACATTTATTTCCTTATGTTATTTGTGTCTATTTCTATCTCTTTCTCTCTCTGGATTATAAATTTGAGGGAGGAAATGGTTCATCTTTGTACATACTTGCATTGTCTGTAGTGCAAGTTTAGCAAATTTTAGGTGTTGGAAACATTTTTCGTAAAGTTTATCAAGTAAGCATGAGACTGCTAATAGAGATTTTAATGGTTAGACAACATCAACACAGAAGAAGTTATTACTATTATTGGTAAAGATTTTATGGATATATATTTAAGTTGCATATTGAGAGACAAGCCCCAAATGCCATAAACACTTATATTATGGGGACTAATAGGTACTTTTTTCAATTAATCCAGGATGTTTTCTTTAAGAAAATAAGTCTCTCTCAGACAATTGCTTTTTTGTCCCATTTATTTCAGGGAGATTGTCAAGAGAGAAAAATATCTACTTTTCATTCAGTTGCCTTGAGACAAATTTGCAAATAAGATTATTTGCAAATAGGAGAAAGTGGTAATTTAGTTTCAGCTTCTTAATCCTATGAGGGGCCTTATCTTCAATATTTAGTCATTGGTTTGAGTGTTCTTAGTGAAAAATCCTGAAACTATAGTTTTTGCTTATTATCTTCTCCAGAATATGCCTGCCTTGGCTGGAAAGGTCTGTTTTTAGAAGGAAAATAATAGTATATAATGTATCCCTTTGTACTTAAAAGTCTCTGAGAATTTTTATAAACCTGTTGAAAAGCTACATATAATGTAAATTTTTCTAGTGCCCCTTTTACCCCAAAAGACATAACTTAAAAAAAATCACTTGCCGCATCTTTTCCTTTTAGGTAGATCTCTAACAGACTCCCCCCTCCCTTTTTTAGTTATGGACAACATTTTATTCCCCAGTCCATCCCCTCTGTGAGACATTCTATAGTTTAACTTTCATGAAATGCCAACTACACTCTATAACTCCCAGTAATTGCCTTTTATTTGCCCAAAACACACATATCCACAAATTCTGTTCTTTCTAGGCACCAGAGCAGCAATCACAACGTTTCATTCAGTTTCTCATTCACTGGCTCAGTTGAGACCTTACGTAACTCTTAAATCCAATTTGTCTAATTATGTGTTTTCTGCCATACCCAGCTGTGCATTTGAACTGGTTGCTCCTTTTGAAAAGAAACCTGGATTATACTTTGCTGGTTTATACACACACACACACACACACACACACACACACACACCCCGTGTGTAGGTACACATATATATTCACATACACATATATCTGCATATATGTAAATTTAAAGGAAGTGCCATACCGTGTCTAAGCAAGTCTACTGCATAGTATATAGCACTGGAAAGATGGTATTTTTCAGTAAGTCCTTATTAGTATCCTACACACATTGCAAAATTTTTCAGCATGTATGAAAATTTTAGGGTCTCTCTGAGGTCTGTTAATCACACTGTTGGCTGATTACAGACCAGAAAAATTTGTGTATTAGGAGAGAGAGAGAAAGAGAATTTTCTGCCTTGATTAAAAAAAAAGTCTTCACATTCTTGCTGAGAAAATTTCATTAGGATCAAAATTGTAAAAGAAAAACAAATCAAAATGACCTTTAAGAAGTGAGAAAATAAAATAATATTTCCATGATATAAAAAGTTGAAGGAGAAAATACATACTGTGAAAGATGAAAAGTTCGGGGTAAAAATTTTGTCTTCCAAATTTTTGTTGATAGTTGAGATTGATAGTAAAATAGGAAAGGATTTTTTTGTGTGTTTATTGTTTAAAAGGAGAGGATTTCTTTTTTTCCGAGACCTCAGATCACAGGAAGTGAAGCCTCCTATCTCTGAGCCACTATAGTGCCTCTTCTCATTTAATGAGGAAAAATGAAAAGTAATCCTTGCTGAGCAAGTTTTGCTGCATTTAATGAAATGAACCCAATAGTAACAGGATAAGGAAACAGCCATCCCGAGGCTAATGTTGTAGACTCAGAGGTATACACAAGAAAGAGGTGTGGTTAGAAATGATATTTCACCCCTTCTGTTCCCAGTCAGACTTGTTAAAGAGAAGCAGTCCTAGATCTAATTTTCCCTATACTGGCACTATGGCATCAAAATTTCTATCCAAAGAATTATTAGACTTTTCCAGAGAAAACTGTCTAATAGAGTTCGATGGGGATAATAAGAGGGGAATATCATACTTCTTTTGGTTTGAACTGTCACTCCAAAACCTGAGGAAAATTTCCCCCTGTGCTACCTGCGAGGTTGGTGCTAACTCTCCACCTTAAAATAACCATGGACAGAAATCTCATAAGTTGAAGAGTTGATGACAGAAAGAGGCCTTTACATTGGGTTTAAGAGCTACTGAATCCTCATTATAACCTGCACTCTTATTAGTGCTTCCCAGGGGGGTGGGGTGGGGGGAACTGGATGTGTCAGACCAGCCAATTGGGTTGGCCCTCCACCTCTCTCATCTGATGCAAGTGAGGGAACTTATGCAGGAGTATACAGCTATGAGAGTCCCACCCTTGAGAGAGAGGAACCAAGTCTCATAAGAAGAAAATGGCAAACCAGGGGTCTGTTCTACACGCTATGAGACAGGTATCATTATCTCTACTTTACATAAGTAAAGTACTTAAAGGCATTAAGTAGCTTACCTAAAGGCAGAGAGAAAGTGGCAGAAAGGGTATTAGAACACGGGTCATCTGGTCTGAAGTTTGTACTCCTTACTACCAGTTAATCACATTTCCTCTCGAGGTTATATTTTTGAGAAATCCCAGCTCTCCATGGGCATCTTTTTTTTTTTTTAAATAAGATTTTGTTTTATTTATTTATGCATACAAGAAATGGGGTGTAGGCCAGAGTTGCAGGGGTTGAGTGGATTCACCAGAGACAGAGTAGGGATCAGAACAGGCAGATCTAATGCAATATGCTGCTGAGGGGGGATCAGCGGGCGAGACAGGAGAGGTCTGCTGAGTCACATGTGTTAGCTCTCTGGCTGGGGTAGAACTCATGTAGCAGTGGCTGGTGACAGCTTGATAGCACTGAGACTTTAACCCCTGTGCCACCAGGGAGGCCCTTCATGTGCATCTTTGAGGGCAGGTTTCTCCCTTGAGTTTCAGAAATTCGAATAGCATTAACTCTACAGAGTTAGTTACTCAACAGATTGATGGAAAACACTCATTTTTCTTCATTTTACCCACCATGTTCTCTTTATCTCTCATTCAAGGAAACAGAGCAGATATTATTTTATTTTATATATGTTTTTAAATCATTTTTCATTTTTACACAATGTATGCATTTTCATCTTGGTCATATTCCCCATACAATTCCCACCCCCTTATTTTGACCCTAATCCCTCCCTCCTCCGCAACCCCAGTAGTGTGTCTCTGGTTTATAGTTGCTTGTTGATTTTGATTTTTACTTTATTATAATGAGTCTTTTTTCCTGGTCCCTTATTTAGGTTTTCTAAATTCCTGCTATGAGTGAGACCATCCCAGAGCAGATTTTTTTTTAAAGATTTATTTATTTATGCGTGTAAGAACTGGGGTACAGGCTAGAGGTGTGGAGGGTGAGAGGATTCACCAGAGACAGAATGGGGAACAGAGCAGGCAGATCAGATTGACTGAAGTACACTGCTGAGGGGAGCAGCAGGCGAGTCAAGAGAGTTCTGCTGCACCATGTGGGTTGCTCCCTGGCCAGGGATCGAGCTTGTGCTGCAATGACGGCGGAGAGTTTGATAGGTTGCGTCTTAACCCCTTGTGCCACCAGGGAGGCCCAGCAGAGCAGATATTTTTAAGTAACTTCTATATATTGAGTATTCTGTT